GGACTCCCAGCAGCTTCTACTGAAGCCTTCCGAGTAAATCGCCAGAACGCCGACACCTCCTCATCTCCACCGCTCCCATGTTTTATTTTGTGTTGCCATAAATTAGTCTCTCTGCGTTTCTGCGCTGGGCTAATGCTAATGCTAATAATGTTAATGCGAGGATAATAAAATGGTGGCTTCACAACACTTTTTTTGAGTTTTACGGGGCGTGGTTTGCAATCCGCCCAGCTAATCAGAAATATAACTCTTTTCTCACAAGAGATCCGCATGAGACTCCCTTCTCTCTAGCAGGGACGGAAAAGGGGGTAAAAAGGTTCTCATGAACTAATTTTAGTTCCGGCTCTTTTTGGTGTGAACGTGACATTTCGGAACTATATCGGAACTAAAGTGGGAAAAGTACTCCGGTGTGAACGCGGCTAATGTGTGATGCCTCTGTGGGTTCATCTAGAGAGGGTGTGGCTGTGCTGTCTTGATTGCCTTGATTGCAGTAACTCAGGGCGCCTGGGTCTGGCGCCCTGCAGCTATATAAAGCCTCTGCTCCTCTCTGTCTTCCCTCTGCTTCCTCCTACAGGCACCCGGTTTCGGTTGAGTATGCTAGGAGTTTCTTCAGTTGCTTCACTTTGTGCAACTCAACACTCTCACACTCAAACATGTCAATGCAATCCTCACCCTGCATTTACACTACTGATACCACTGACATCCACACCTCATGCTTTACTTGTTTTGCTCTTAATTAGTTTGGCTAATTTGAACCACTTGCTTTAATAAACATCTTTTGTTAAACCGTTGATATGGTCTGTCTCCTCTTTGTTGTGGCCTTTTGAGACAGGTCAAAACACTATGTTAAAGAAGTAAACAAAGGAGTCCAATGGAGGCATTTCAGGGAAGGTAACAAAGGGATGTTAGCCTTTGAAAAACCATTTATAGGCACACCATACATCAGGCAGTATTTTAACCCCTTTAACCTGAGAGCTTTGTGTAAATGTGCAACACCTTCTATTAGTGGAGGTGAATCAATGACCACTCACAGATCATAAATAATAACCAGAGTGCAGCTCTGAATGTGCGTAATGTCTCTCTCCACAGGACCATCATCTACCTGTCCATTGTCTACGTGATCGGACATGTGGTGAAGTCGGTCGGAGCCATTCCCACCGTGGGGAGCAGCGACGTGCACATGTAAGTAGTCAGGAGCTGATGAAATAGCCTTTCACTTAAAATGGTCAGATGTGGAATTCAGAGGTCTTCAACCAGGTTTTTTTTTTCTGGTGGTCGATTAAAAAAGAATATACTTATAGTGTGTGTATGTGTGTTGCAGCGCTCTGTCCATGGTAGGTTTGATTCTCATTGCTTTCGGCACCGGAGGAATCAAACCCTGTGTAGCGGCTTTTGGTGGAGACCAGTTTGACGAGGAACATGTAAGTCTCTACACTTCTTCTTCAAGTGATGTTTGTATTCTATGGACAAAATGAAGAAAAATGTCTAGAATTAATCAATAAAATCTAGGTGTATATAAACAAAAAAGATAAGAGCAGAAATAACTTTGAGTGTCGTTGATGTTTCTCTAGATGTAACAGCTTGCCCCGCAACCCACCCCATATATTTAAGTGATCGTTTTACAAAGAGTTTCTTTAGGTCTTCTGTGTAAAAGACACAAGAGGAAGTTATGGTGTCTATTAAATCAGCTGTAAATAGTTGTGCCACAACAGCTCACTCGTAAAAATTCCCGCCTGGTTTCACTTCCAGGGCCTCAAATACAAACGCTTTTAGGTAATGGGCATCTTTGTCTTGATACCGACGCACAAGTCAGCCTTTGACATCTATATGAGACGCACCATGCTTTTTAATAATCTCAATTCAAACCATTTCCTCATTATTAGACGCTCATAGCAACGGATGTGGTGTTAAAAGTGTGGTCAAACAAACACAGGAATTTAGTGATGTGAACACCAAATAAAACAACATTTTCTTTAGTTTATGCTGAATTTGCAAGTGCAGATTTAATTTAGGTTTGCCTGAATAAAAAAAAAAAAAAAAAAGAAAGTTAAACATGGGTTGCACAGAATTCTACGGCGCTTAAAGCTATTATATTTAGCTTAACACAATAATCAGTCATTTGAAAACGAATTTGAAATATTTGTGGGTATTTAAAGAGGACAAAATACATTATTTTAAAAACATGTTTTAATTTCGTTGATCACCTGCAGGGCAGCGAGAGGCAGAAGTTCTTCTCCATTTTCTACATGTCGATAAATGCCGGGAGCCTCTTGTCGACTGTGATTACACCAATACTGAGAAGTGAGCTTTCACTTTCTTAACATTCAAATCATACACAAAGAAGTCTGTTGTGTTGAAGCCTTTTAACGCTGGCTTGTCTCCTGCAGGTGATGTGCAGTGTTTCGGTGGAGACTGCTACGCTCTGGCCTTCGGGGTTCCTGCAGCTCTGATGATCCTGGCTTTAGGTGAGTGTCAATCCACCTGAAACACCCTCCAGATAAATGTCATCCAGTAGTGACAGTATGAATGGTGGCTGCATAACTTTATCTTCTTTCCGATATGGTGAGAGGCTAATTCCGTCAATATTTGAAAATAAAATAGACTAAAATTACTAAGGGAGCTTTTTTCTGCCACCTGTATCTTCAATCTTGCTTTATGGTGTCGGTGTCTTTTTCAGTTACAACATCCCCATCACACCTTCTCCAAGCAAGAAAGAGATCTAGTATGTTTTGTAAAACAATTTGCAAAAGCTTATTTGAGTTGACAGCATGATACAATAGGGATATCACAAAAACCAAACTTCTGTTTCAACCCTTGTGTTGTGCTCGAAAGCTGGTGTTTGTGGGTCAATTTTGACCCATTATTAATCTCAGTCCAAAACACTCAAAAATAAGCACTATCATCCAATATTGTTTTAACTACATCATAACTAACTTATTACAATTATTGTTACAGTGGATGAAGGGGGTGGGGCTGGGGTGTCTAAAGTCATAGATGAATCTTTATTGGGCCAAATTTGACCCCGAGTGACCCAAAACAATGCTGCTGGGTCTCCCCAGACCCCAACACCAAATTATACACTTTTTTTTGAGAGACCTTCAGACTTGGCTAAAATTGTCAAAATCAGTTTTGTAGTGTTTATAATATCATGGAGGATATCATGAAGCCTTGTTCCGATAAAAAAAACTAGAGCGTAGTTATTATATAATTTTAACTTGAAACGGGTCATGGGAGACCCGAACACAACATAGGCCTAAGGGTTAAGTCAATGCCACATTTGAATAATAACGAATTGACTAACAACACTAACTATTTCAGGGACAATACAGATGTGTATACTCTTAAGTCACTATTAATGAATCCAGAAGCTGCCCCCAAATATTTTACTCTGATAATGTTACACTGTAAACAATGAATCTGTGTTGAAATGAGCAGGAGAAGAGCTAGTTAACGTTAGCTGGTCGCTGGTCGCTGTTCGCTGTTGGCTTTTAGCTGTTAGCTGTTATCTGGTTGCTGTTCACTGTTAGCTGGTAGCTGTTAGCTGTTGGCTTTTAGCTGTTAGCTGTTATCTGGTTGCTGTTCACTGTTAGCTGGTAGCTGTTAGCTGTTGGCTGTTATCTGGTTGCTGTTCACTGTTATCTGGTTGCTGTTCACTGTTAGCTGGTAGCTGTTAAATGTTATTTGTGTACTGTTCGCGATAACAGATAACAGCTACCAGATAACAG